AAGGAGAGAGAGAGGGAGGGAAGGAGAGAGAGAGGGAGGGAAGGAGAGAGAGAGGGAGGGAGGGAAGGAGAGAGAGAGAGAAAGAAAGGAGGGAGGGAGAGACAGGAGACAGACAAAAGAGTGGAGGAGAGGAAGAATTTACACGCTGACTTAGCCAGCCTTAGCCTTCACTGAGAAAGAAAGGAAATTCTCTTGGAGACAGAAAGGTTGCCAGTGCAGGAAGGCACTCACTCCTTCCCTCTTAGCTTGCCTGTTGCTTCTTTTGGAGTTGGGTGTTGAGCATGGGGGAACACCCCAAGGCCGTTTCCAATGGTGCTCTTTCTCTTAACCCTTCACCCTAGGCATGAGTGCTTTTGAACAGCTGAAAGCCAAGCGTCCATTCCCTTGCTTTCTGCAGTCAATGTCCTGAATCTGGATGATTCTGAAGGAACAAAGCCCCTCTGCTTGATGGCCAGAGACCTCAGGGTTTTACTGTGGGAGGGAAACATCTGGATTTAACTTTTCTGAGAGGAATTAAGTAGAAGGTCTGAAAGCAACTTTGGGGAAAGGAAGGAGCTACCTATTTACATTTGTTTTCTTCTCCTGACTATATTAATGAAACTTCTAGCTGTCTTTGACTGGTAATGATCTCATCCTCAGACCATCTGCTGCCAAATGGATCTAATCCCTCAACACTACAGGCGGCCAGGTTGCCAAATCTAAACGGAAGATTGTCATAGCCATGTGAAGCATTAACCCTTCCTATCCTGGATGGGCTCCAACTGCTTGGAGACTGCCCCACCTTCAGTTAAGGCCTGGTAGTAGATCTAAAAGGATGATTCATGGGATTCTAACTGGCCAGGATGTTAGCAATCCTCATAGGGCCCCCAAACACTTGAGGACTAGAGTACAGAACTAAAGGGGGCTTCAGATAAATTTGGGGCATCTGCCTCTTGTTCTCTCCAATGCTGGGTGGAAAAATAAGGGACATATTACAAGATTAAAATGAGCTATCCAGTTTTAATTGGGGCTTGAACAGTTTCTGAAGGAAGGTTTTTTGATCTTATGGGGAAGAAAGGGGACTTTTTTAAGAAACCTGCTATATGACAACTGACTTTCCTCAATGACTCTTTGGGCTGAGCCAATTCTAATGTCATACTTTGTTCCTAACAGAGGAGAAATACACCGTCATTTACCCATATACTGCTCGAGACCAGGATGAAATTAACTTGGAAAGAGGAGCCATGGTGGAAGTTATCCAGAAAAACCTAGAGGGCTGGTGGAAGATCAGGTATTCTTCCCTATCTCCCCTATGGCCTTAGAGAGGGGATGATTTGGATTTCTTATACTGAATGACACTACAATGACTCTCTATGTGATGACCTTTGGGGGTGAAACTTTCATGATGATGTCACTGACATCTTTGAGACCTGACTCCTGAAAGGAAGTATCTTTTATATGCTTCTCTCCTTAATCATATTCTTTCTTGTAAGCCTGTAATAGACAATCTCATCTTCAAGCATACACAACCGCCGCTTAAGAGGAATTAGAAGAAATCCTGGACTCTGACTGTAGATATTTCCGACAAATGGCAATTACATTGGAAACCGCCGTTTATTTTCTTTTGTTTGTTTGTTTTAGTATTTTATTTTCCCCAATTATATGTAAAAACAACTTTTAACATTTGTTTTTAAAATTTTGAGTTCCAAATTCTCTTTTCCTCCCTTCCCACCCTCCCTCATTGAGAAGACAAGCAATTGGATGTTATACGTGTGTCATCATGCAAAACGTATTTCCATATTAGTCATATTGTAAAAGAGACCATAGACCAAAAAAAAAAACTAAAGAAAAATAAAATATAAAAAGTATGCTTTGATCTGTACTCAGACACCATCAGTTCTTTCTCTGGGGATGGATAACATTTTTCATTATAAATCCTTCAGAGTTATCTTGAGTCATTGTATTGCTGAGAACAGCAAAGTCATTCACTGCTGATCATCTTACAATATTGCTGTTACTATGTAGTGTTCTTCTAGTTCTACTCATTTCACTTTGCATCAGTTCATGTAAGTCTTTCCAGGTTTTTCTGAGATCCTGCTCATCATTTCTTATAGCACAATAGTATTCCATGCCATTGATTTTCAACACCACTGCAAGTAGGGGACACAGCATAAGCATAGCCACAAATCCCCTGTACATGTGAATATGCAAATATACAAAAGGCCTATGATTTTTATCAGTATGCAGGCATCCCAGTGTGCAAATTCCTTCTACTGATTCAGATTGAAAATCACATATGACTTAGTAGATAAGTCAAAGAGAGTTGCCTAGGCCCGTTGAGGTTAAGTGACTTGACCAGGGACACACAGCTAGTAAGTATATAAGAGGTGGTCTCTCTGGCTCCACCATTATTCTGCGCTACCACCATTCACATGGAAGAAGGGTTTATTTCTCTGTTATGCCACTACCACAACCCCTGTACTTTTCCTTACAATGAGTTGCTTTGCTTGATGCTAGGCTCTCCCTTCAGACTATTAGCATCTCAAGGGCAGGTGCCTATTGCCTTGGTCTCTGTCTCTCAGAGCCTAATAATAACGTTATTAGTATTACTATTGTTGAATTCATATAGTACTCTGCTTTACGGAATATCTTCATGTATATTAGCTCATTCTCTCATAACAACAATGTGAAGTAGGTGGGACAGTTATCATTCCCTTTTTACAGATGGGGAAACTAAGACCCTTAAAGTCAAATGACTTTCCCAGAGTTACAAAGCAAGATAGCTACGGCACCAAGATTTCCTGACTCCTAGGCCATCCCTGACTCTAGATCTCAACTTCAGCAATATTGCCGTGCGTCATTGTGCTAGGAGGAGACATGTTATCATCCCAAAAGTTAAAGCCCTTCCTTACCCAGAGCTCTGACTAGGCGTAGGAGAGAAAAAGTTGGAGGACTAAGCAAGGGAAAATGTTTTTCTCAGAAGTGATAATTGTTCCATAAAGAATTCTCCCCCACCATACAAAAACATTGCTTTTGAGGGCTGCACCTAGAGCTAGCACAAAGTAGGTTGTCTTTCCCCTATCTCAGGCCAACCCAGAATCCATTAGGTATTAGAGGTGGTATCAAGTGGCACCACCCTCCCCCTTCCCCAGCCCAGGTCAATTAGACTTCACCCCAACCTTCCTGACGATGCTCCTTCCCCTTTTCCTCTCCTGCAGTATACTAATCCCACCCCTTCCACAGGGATCTCAGAATCCCTGCTCCACTTTGACCCCTAGGCCTACTCCCTGTTTGCCAATGCAGCACAGACCAGAGTGGGGGGCGAGGAGGAGAGAGGGAAAACCCCTTAAGACTTCCCACCCTGAGAGGCCCATACTCCAGTACATCCAAAGGACTCCACGGTGATTTCCAGGCTTTTCCATTCCCCCTCATGTGTTGTCTTGATCTAATTGGAGTGCAAACTCATTGAGAGCAAGAATTATCATCCTTTTCTTTTTGTATCCCTAGTATTTAGCATAGTATCTGACACATAGTGAGCACTTAATAAATGCTTTTTTATTCATTCATTATCAGAAAAATTAATGGTATCCAGTCAACCCCCCACCCCCCTTTTTGGCCTAGATTTTATTTAAAATTTTTCATCAATGTCCATTAATGATATTAATCTATAGTTTTCTTCCTTTCTTTTTTTTTTTTTACAGTGTTTAAGTTTTAAGGCTACATTAATCTCATAAAAAGAGTTTGGTGAAGTGTTTTTTTTTTCAGTTTTTGAAAATAGTTTGTGTAGTATAAATTCTCTTTAGAAGTTTGCTAGAATTCACCTGTAAATCCCTCTGAACCAGAGCTATTTTCCCCTCTTTGGCCATTAGCCCTTTTAACATTAAGACCACTTCATTCCTCTGATTCTTGGGCCACTGGCCAATCATCTGTATTATGCAGACTCCCCCCTTTTTTCACATGGCTTCCTGAGGTGCAGCAGATAATCTATGCTGCCCAGTTATTTGTTTGTTCCCTGATAGAGAAGATCATTAGCAGAATGACTGATGTGACAAGTGGTTTTACCCACAAAGCTTGGAAGTTCTTCTATTGTTTGACTTCCTTTCATGTTTTCCTACTATTTGGCTTCTCTATAGGGATTGTGCGCAGTGTCTAAGTAGGTGTTGGATAGCATCAGATGCTTACCACAGAGTAGTACCACATTCTTATACCTAAGTGGTTACTCAGGAATGGAGACACCCATGTAGCTTTAAGGCGTATTTGGGCATGAAGGAGAGGAGGCCTTGATTTTCTTTGACCTGACCTGACACCCAGAGCCCAGGCTAGACAGGAAAAATGCAGCATCTCTACAGCTGGGACTGGGTCAAGAGAGCCAACCTATTACATCAGAGCCCTGGGATATCAGTAGCAGTTAGTGTAACATGGGTCTTGCACTGTACTGAGCACATGGGCACTTGTTGGCTGACATATTAATACTTCATTCCACCACTTCTTTCTCTTCTCCCTGCTCCCCCCTTTTCTTACTTTAATCTTTCTTGCTTCCTCTTCTGCAAATCTGTTACTCCATTTCTTCTTCCACTCGCTTGTTTCCTTTCTTCCTTGTTTGTGCCTAGCAACGGCTGAGAAGGGCATTGATTGGTACCCTTGTCAAGGCTAAAGAAGTCTGCCCTTGCACAAAAGAATATTAGAAGACACCTCTTTCTATATGAGACTTTTCCTGATCCCCTAGCTCCTAGTGACCATACAACCCCACCTCAAAATCATTTAGTTTGTATATGTGTATTATATAGTGTTATATAAATTATCTGGTACAAAGTAAAATTATTAAATTTGTTGAGGTATACAATAAACCTTACAACTTTTAATATCCTTAAAAAATGAAGTCTGACTGGAAAAAAATGATAATTGGGTGTAGGCATCCAGAAGGCATAGTTAAAAAAAAGTTATAAATAAAAGCTTTTACAGCTCAGCTATTAAAAAAAAAAATTTACTTTCCAGAACTTGCACTATGATGGTAGCTTTGACTAGTGTTTTTGGGACAGGAAGAGCTCAGTATGGGCTAGGGTTATGCTGGTAAGCAAAATATAGTGCTTGAGTAGTAATTTGGTTTGTCCTCTTAATAAAACTGGCTCAAGCCAAATCTTTTGGAATTAATCAGCAGTGGCCTTGGGGGTTGGGATAGAGTTTGGGAAGGTTGAGAGAGGGAGGCTGTGAGTTTTGCTGTTACTCCTACAGGTCTAGGTTTGCAGGTTGGTTCTTCAGAGACTTTATCTCTTTCAAGACATTCTGCCCACGATTCAGGTAATTGGCTACTAAGAGAACTTCAGTGCCTCTCTATGTATGACTTCTCTTCAAAAGGTGTCACTTGGCATTTTATAACATGAAATCCCATGGTAGCCTGCGATTCCTTTAGTCCAGAGCAAAAACAAAATCCTTTGAGTACATTTTTCTACTCAAAGGAATAGTCCTTGGGCCCTTTTCCTCTATTCACCTATTTAAAATGAATAGATATTCTCAACACAATATGTTTTTATCTTCTTCTTGATCTGCTTCCAGTTTTTTAAAGGCTTCTTTTTTTTTTCTTTTAAACATCTCAAAACACAACTGAGTTTTTAGTCTGAGATGTTGTCTGCTTCTGAGTCTAAACAAATCATCTTTACTTGTAGAAGGACCTTGGGCAAATGGTATCAATTCCATGTCTTCACCTCCAAATTTATTGGGTTGCCATTTGGAAGGCCTACAGTGACTTTCTGTGTGCAGCAGTTACAGGGACTGGATTGACCTCTGTAACAGAGTGAGTCAAACAGTTGTTCAGTTTGTATTTGGCTTTGTTAAGTCAGCAGGCTGATTTCTGAGGACCTCAAACCCTTCATAGCTTAATGAAATGGAACCAAACTGGGAGCCCTGTCACATGCCTTGCTTCAGGCCTTGTCTTTCCTACAAGTACATGTAATAGTGATAATAACTATAGCTCATGTTTTTATAGCACTTTACAATTTCCAAAACATTATATATGTTTCCTAATTTGATCCTTAAAACAGCCCTTTGAATTGGAAAGTTGAGTATTATCATATTCATTTTACAGGGGAGGAAATTCCATCATAGAGAAACTAAATTATTTATCTGAGATCATTCAGGGCATGCAGGTCATATGGTGGAATGATTGGAACTTGAACCAATATCTTTTGCCTTTAAGATCCATGTCCCTTTTTTATGCTCTATTAGGCATCTTCTAAGCAGTAATGGTTTTTCTCCCGGTTCATAGTGACTATTGCCTCTTATTCTCTTATTATCATCTCATTATTTATTAGTGTATTTATTGTGTTTAAATTATATATTATTCTCTTATTATCGCCTCTTTATATTCATTGAGTTAATTTATCCTTTCAGGCTTTTAGCCATTAGGATTTGAGGTGAATTTAGAAGGTTGGAGAAGCTTCCCCTTAAGCACAGGGAAAGTATGATGTGAGCTTACTGAAGATATTTATTTCCCTAGGTTTCAAGGTAAAGAGGGCTGGGCTCCTGCCTCCTACCTGAAAAAAGGCAGTGGAGAGCTATTCGCTCAGAAGCTAAGCTCTGGGTCACCAGCGCATACATGCACTGTCGATGTGGATGGCATTTCCCGGCAGCAAAACTCAGCAGGCAGAGAGAAGGATGTACTCAACAACCAGAGAGATGGGAGGTTTGATAACCGCACAGGCCTAGATGGTGACATCAAGCAAAGTAAGTGGATTGCCAGCAGGATAAAGAGAACGTTTGTCATGTGTTCAGTTCATTCTAATAATAATAATTTGCACTTGCGTAATGTTTAATGCTTTTCTGAGTACTTTCATAGGCCTTATCTTATTTAAACCTCACAACCCTATTAATATCATTATCCCCATTTTTCAGATAAGAAAACTGAGATTTTGAGAGGTCACTGGTTAGTGTCAGAACCAGAATTTAAATCCTAGTTTCCTGTTTTCTGCTAATTTCACTGCCCTTTCAGCGACCACATCTAAAAATTTCTGTGTGCTTTATGAAGAGAGGATTTAGTTAGGGAAAGGACTTGCAACCATTAGAGAAGAAAGGTTCCTCCTTTGCCCTAGTTAGTTTCACTTAAGTATTTCTGCAGGTTATTGTATTGTTGGGTTAAAAAAAAAAAAATCTCTTAGTTTAAACCAAGGCCATCACCTTACTAGGATGTGTACTGGCTCCATTTGGCAATACCTCCATCCCTGACGGATTATTTCCCTCTTCCCATTTACTTATGTTTTTATGTTCTTGATCACCATTTCCTGGCCCTATTTATGCAAAATTCTTATATCCAATTGAATGTAAGCCCAGCGAGGGCAGGGGCTGTTTAATTTTTATCTTTGTTTTCCCTACACCTAGCACAGTGTTTGGCATATATACTTGCTGACTTTTTGATTAAACCTCTGACTTTTAACCACTGAGGATTCCCCTTTCCCCCCATAGCCATGACCGGTATTCCATTCCAGTCTGGCTGTACTAAGCAGAGAAAGCACTTTGTTGTCCTAGATCTTTGGCTATACTGATCAGGGCTAAGGATGAGGGAGGGGGAGAAGGATGCAGGAAAAGTAATCTACCTCAGAATGTTGGAGGTCAGAGCACAGGATTTATTAATGTTAAGATTGGGATGTTGGATCATGGACCTAGAGCTGAACAGACCTCTGAGGCCTTTTAGAAGGGAGAAGGAGGAGGAGGAGGAGGAGAAAGTGGAGGAGGAAGAAAAGGAAAAGAAAGAAGAGACAATAGAGTAGGAGAAGGAAGAGGAAGAGGAAGAAAAGGAAAAGAAAAGAAGAAGAGGTGGAGAAGGAGAAGGAGAAAATAAAAGAAGAAGAAGAAGAGGTAGAGGAGAAGAAAAGGAAGAAGATTACCAAGTACTTAACATATATTGTCTCATTGGATCCTCACATTAACTCTATAAAGTTGATGCTGTTATAGGAAACCGAACCAAAGAAAAGAAGGGATTTTCCCCAGGGTCGCGCAGATTTGGCCTCAGTTCTTCCTAAGGATTTCTCCACTATAGTACCTACCTCCCTGTAGCTTCCCCGTGTGAGGAAACTGAGGCCTAGTCAGGGTAAGTGACTTGCCTAGAGGCAGGTATGGAAGCATGGTATTCTCTCCTCCCTTCCAATTAAATTTTAAATTTAAATTTAACTTCCCTGAAGTTTTACCTTATATACACCGTAGCACCCATTCAGGACATTGCTAGGCAATGCTCTCTAGTCTCACCTCCTCGGAGAGGAGTCTTCAGTAAAAATCTGCTCCATACCACCAGTCTCCAATGGTCCCTGACAATGTAGGCTCTGAAGCTTGGTGTTCATAAGGAAAAGGTGAGGCCTTTCACCCCCTGAGACCAGTAGATTCTCCTCCTCTCAAACATAGTAGGAATGTATCTTTTCCCTCTCCTTTCTACAGCTTTTCCTTTGCTGTTGTACTGGGAATTCCAGAAGTCTCTTTCATTTCAGAATAGACAAAGTCTAGCGATTTATTTCATTTTAGGGAAAAGCAGTGTTGGTAGAGCAGTCTGAACCTGAGCTAAGAAAGTTTAAGGGAAGGGTACGGGTGATCTTACAGGAGGCTGTTGATTCTTCCCCTAATTGGAGTTTTTAACCTAAAATTCTGAACAATTTAAGATATTTTCACACTCTAGTTGGCATCATAATTGTGTGTACATCTTATTTTGCCATTGTCAGCAGCCTTGTTTTCTTTCTTTTTTCTTTGGGTTTTTTTTTTAAACTTTATACTTTCCCTCTCTCTGTGTGTTGTGCCTAGTTAGTGTGCAATAAATAGGTGTTGAATTGTGGGTTACTGCCTCTTGAAATGGAGTACAATAAGACCATATTTCTCCACAGGATCTCCAAAGATGAGGCAGAGACCCCCTCCTCGACGAGACATGACCATAGTAAGTAACTTGCTCTGGGGAACCAGGCCCTTATTTGAAAGGCTTGAGTTAAAGGGCAATCCTTTATACTTAACATATAGTTTTTATATTCAACAAAGCATCTTCACAGGCATTATCTCGTTTGGTTCTCAAAACAGTTCCAACAATACCCATACTAGGCATAGTAGATATTATTATCCTGCTTGACATATTAGGAAGCAGATTTAGAGACTATAAGTGATTTTCCTAAGGTCACACAGGATATTAGTGACAAAGTCAGAATCGAGACAAAGATACACCTTTGACTTTTAGGCTAGGTCCCTTTTCCAAAGGATAAAATATGTAAAGTTGTAGCCCTCAAGATGAACAGAAACCAAACCTTGGGCAGAAAGATTCTCGAATACCATACTAGCTTCCTCTTTTCGTTTTCTAATTGTTGCCTCCAAGCTAATACAAAATTTTCTAATTCCTTTTTTCTCTTTAAATCAGTATAACTCTGGAGTTTCCTTAGCTTTCCACATTTCCCCCACATAACCCTCAGCTGCAAAGCTTCTGATTCACTTATAAGATCAAAAATGCAACATGTCTCTTTAGAGCCAGGTCACATTTTAATTGAATCCCACAAAATTACCTGTTGTGTTTAAACTTTTTAGTGATACACTAACAAAAGTTAGTTTTATGTTTAATTCTATCAGCCTCGAGGTTTGAACCTGCCAAAACCCCCTATCCCACCCCAAGTGGAAGAGGAGTATTACACCATTGCTGAGTTTCAGACAACTATTCCCGATGGAATCAGTTTCCAGGCAGGACTGAAAGTTGAGGTGAGTGGACTTGACCTTCCCTTCCTACCTCTAGGCTGTCTTTTCCTCCTCTGACTTCTCCTTCCTTCCTCTGTCCTCCCCTCCCATCCTCTCACCTTCCTTCCCTCTTGCCTGAACAATTCCCTGAAATTTCTCTTTCCCCTGAATACTTGTTCTCATCTCTCTTGACAACTCTAGAAAGTTAAGGTTATTTACAGTTCTTTCAGAGATTTTATGTAGATACATGCTTGGAAATCCCTTGATAGGTGGCATTAACAACAAAGACCCCATGCTTGACAGCATACGTTACAGATGCCAGAGGTGATGCTTGAGATGGGCCTGGCACAGTCATTACTCTGCAGTAAGGATTGACCCAACTCTCCAACAACACAGTTGTTGGACTCAGTCATTGCCACCCGTCCACTACTTCCTCTCCTCCATTTCTCTCCATTATGTTCATCCTCCCCGTCATCAGAAAATGAGAACAACAGGATATCAGGTGGACAACTTGGCATGCAGGTTCTAAAAAGTTCTCTCTCTCTGTCCGTCTGTCTCTCTCCCTCTCTCTCTCTCTCTGTTTCTCTCTCTCCGTCTGTCTCTCTCCCTCTCTCTCTGTCTGTCTCTCTCTCTCTGCCTATCTCTTTCTCTCTCTTTCACACTCTCA